CCTCCGCCCAGCCACTGGACGCTGACATCACAGCCCGCGTAAACAGCGGCCAACAGCAAAATCCTTTCAGTGCTAATTTTCAGTCTTCTGTTGAGAAAGGGTCCTTCTCCTACAACAACGGTACGTTTTTGAAAGGTTTCTTTTTGTCTGGTCAGTGTCTTCTCTTTTAAGTCACTGTGACCTATATACAGACACGATCCAAATAAAAAAATTAAAGAGAGCTTTATGTGACATTGCTTGGCTAAGCCAGCTCTAGAGTTGCTGTGTCCTCTATTATTTTTTCACACAGGGTCAGATATGAGTTGATATATATTTTTTTTGTTGGTTTTCTTCTTCACTATCATAAGGAACGCTTAAATATCTCTCTGAAAAAAAATAAATCTAGTTTTCCCGCTGAAGGTGGCTTTGATGGACACACCCATGCCACTGTTGTTATTCTGATATTAAAAAAAAAAAAAAAAAAGCCTAGAGTTCTGCCTCTGTCTGAATAACACACAGGACCGAGGCACACCATGAAGTCACTGTGAGTTAACAGGTTACCACTGAGTCACAGTAACTGACACACGGGTCCCCTTAGCTGCTTGCCAACACTCAGTACAACACGTTAGCTTAAATCATTTTCACCAAGACACTTTGATGAGGTTTGGATGGCACAAGAAATTACTCTAGGGATATGGAATCCAACCCCTGCTATAACTTACATTTAAATCAAGATTGGTGGGATCATTGCTACCTGATGACTGTTCATTAAGCCTGGGTGAGAGAAATTTGGAAGTCAGCTCAACTCCCAGTGGCTGGAGACTTGCTGCAAACTGATTTCATAGCACAAAGTTCTGTTCCACTTGGAATAACTCAGGCTGTGAACTGCTCTCTGTCTGGATCACTGGCCATACTGCTGTTCCAGAACATGCAATTCACTCCCACAGCTGGCACCAAACAAAAGAATAACCAAGAACGGAACTGCCCTGAAGGATCCTCTGCTTCGTGACATGTCCCTGCAGCAGTACAGCGAGGGGCAGCGTCAGGGCTCGTGACGTACCTGCACTCCAGGTATAAACCAAGAGTGCAGAGCCCACTGCGGTCAGCCGGGCACCCTTCACTAGCCCTGCATTACTCAGCAGTTCGCAGAGAGAAACAACAGGCATTCCGGCACAGGGAGGGAGAAGCAGCTGGCTAGAGGATGAAGGGACAGAAAGCAGCAATTATACTATTACAGCTAACAAACAAGCCCGCATCACGCTTACTTGAGCTTGGGGGTGCAGGGCCAGCTCATATCCACCTTTGCTGCTGATTGTTTTTTTGACAGAAATTGCTCCCTGAACAGTCATGTTCACTGATTATTTGTCTCCTCCCTTCTTCTTCTGATTACAGCCAGACTGGGATATCCCTGATCCGCATAGAAATGAATATTTTAAAAGTCAGTGCTGTCCTCAGAGGGGCTTGTGCACCATTAGGTCTCCAGATTTACTGCACTAGCAAAGAACAGTGTAGTAATGAGGTAGCAGCAATAGGCTACTAATGAAAAGAGCTAAAAGAAAAGGATTTTGTCTTGGTACATACCTGACTGTAAACTAAAATTATCGTTGATGTCCTGCCTTTATATACGGATTTTTCACCAAATTCTGTAACCACACTCATAGAGCCAACTCTATATTATAGTAACTCCTCTTGATTCCTGACTCAGCACATGCGCTGTGTTTTGCCTATGATCATGAACAGCCGGGAAGCACTACTATCAAAAATTAAAGTGTATTTAAACATGACTTCTGATGTGTTACTGTGTTATATCAAATTCTCCTGTTTTCTAGGTCTCTGCATGAGAAGTTTTCCCGCAGATAACAGCAGTTTGTGCAAAATAGTAACTATTCCCTGTGGTATACGACAGCAGCAAAGATTTTCCCAGAACTATTGAGAAAGCACAGTTATTAATTGCAACATGTGTACCCAGGCCGATAGAGCTGACAACAAAAAAATACTAATGAACGTAACAAATTGTGTTCTCACCCTGTAAGAGGTGTCACAGCCTCATCCCCTGCCTTCAGTTGTAAGTCCTCTGTCTATTTCCATGCTGTTAATTACCCTAGTCTCTCCTCAAAAGTATGTTCAAGTCCAAGCCACAGCTCAAACCTATTCCCTTCTGGGTGTAGTGCTTTACATTAATCAAAACCCAATCACACAACAAGAGTATCGGTCCAGTTCTCCTCCCCACTCCTAGCTCTCCTAGCTCTCTTCTGGCCCTTCACCAGCTCTGCTAACAGAAGAGCCCTGAACTCCAGTTACATTCAACCTTGAGTCACTGGGTGGACCTTCTCTCCCAGTGAGCCATATAAAGCCTGGCGGCTGCTTTGTGCCTGTAACG